TGGGGCTGGGTGGGGCAGCCATTGACAGGGCTGGGAGAGCGGGCAGGCACTCTGGGGGGCTGGGGGAGCAGGCAGGGGCTGGGGGCTGGCAGGGGTCCTCCCTAGGGTTCTCTCCTCCCACCCCCTACTTACCGGCATAGAGTCCGGGTCCTGCTCCCTGCGCTGGTGAGTGGGGACTGCCCGAATCTCAGAATCTCTCCAAATCTATTCCAAATTGATTTGGAGAGCTTCAAATTGATTAAGACCTTTTTACTGGTCTCCTGATTTGATTCGGATTCGCCGATTTGGCCGCTGACTCGGGCCGAATCTTCTCTGAATTGAATCAGCACCCAAACCTTCGCACAGCTCTAATCTCTATACACTCTTTCTGTAATCAAGTGGCTACAGTGGAAAGGCCCCTAAGATGAGCAACAATACTTTGTTTTTTCCCCCCAAATTATCCCTTAGTTTACAGTGGTCTGTGCCTTGTATAAAGATTTGTTTGAGCATTTTTCTCTGCCCCCATAATCACATTCCATAGTTGAGGCTAACAAAGGCTGAGCTTCTGCTAACCTTTCCAGAATCCCACTCTTGGGTTTTTGTTTGAAGTTGTAAAAGTTCATATGTTGTCTCCAGTGCTTCTATCTCTGGTTTAGGGAATCCAGGAAGCACATTGTGTAGCTGGAAACCAAACAGCTCTAGCCAACTTCCAATGTCTACAAAACAGAATCAAAACATTCATAGCAGCAATACACTTAACTCTTAAAAAGTCCTAATCAGCCAAACCTCGAAACATTAACAACTAACGTCCAATACGCATCTCACACGCTTCTGTGCTTTTAACACTGGTTACAAAGTTTTACTGCGAACAAAACTAATGACATTGATTTCATTAAACACATATAGCTATATTAAATTCTGTATTGTATTTTCCTTCTGAACTGCACAAAAAGAAACTCAGATGTTGTTCCCTCAACTGCTCTATTTCCAGTATTCAGCCAAGAGAGGAGATGCAGGCCCTTGCTTATGATACTGATGTTTTTGAACAGTTATAGAAAATATCCAGGGCTATTTAAGAAGGTAGGAGCTTAAAGCCATTTTGAGATGACCAATGGATTCTGAGGTCTTGGATCCATGTCAAGATTCGACCCAGAAGTATTTTAAGGGGAAAAAAATGACTTTTACCTGTTGTGTACTTAGCAACATCTTGGATTCTGCCAACTGGATAGTTATTTTCAAATGAGTAGAGATTAAATGGCTGTGGAATGGTATTCAGATGTTTCCATATATGATGGTTTGGTGTTGTCCAGCGTCCAGCAATGACATCGTAATCCCTTTGACCCAGATGCACTAATTTAGTAAGAGAATCATACAGTCCTCCATGAAAGCCAATTATAACTTGGAAATCCGGATTAGTGTCCTGATAGATCTCTCCATAAGGTGTGTATAGAATTTCTTTAATTACTTGACCCCGACTGCTGAAGACAGCTAGGGGGGTGCCAGTGTTGTCACAAGCAACATAATATTCTTCTCCACTGCTTAATTCCATAGCGATGAGATGACCTTGCAGATCATAATACAAGGATGTTATTTCTGAGCTAGTGTGATTGTACAAGTGGGTAACTCTTATTGGGTTGGAAAGATCAGCGTAAAAGAACTGTAGGTGTTGTCCTATACTTGATTTGCTTGCAACTCTTCTCCCAAGACCATCATAGCAGTATTGTACAGTCCAACCAGACATTTTATTGTAAGCTTTGCTCAGCAAACCATTGGAGTTATACTCAAAGATTTCATTGCCCCTTTGTCTAAGAAAACCATCTTCATCCACTTTGTATTGAATTTCTCCTAGTCTAGTAATGCGATCTCTAAGATCATATCTCAGGGGTGTGAGACGGGCACTGTTTCCATGACTGAGCAAGTTGATGTTTCCATTAAGGTCATAACTGTAACGCCACTGGGTTTTATCATTCACAGAGACAGTCTGAAGTTGGCCGTCAGCATCGTATTCATAAAAGTACCTTGTTATGTTGGCATCGACTCCTACACGTATATCACATATCACCATCCGACCCATATTATCATACTGAATGGTCATCCAATAGGCTATAGACTTAAGAATTTCATATTGCACTTCAATCACCTGCCCGTTGGCACTAAAAATCTTGGTGTGTTTCATTACAGTGGTGGTTATAACTTGGTTCAAGTCATAATTAATCACACTGAATTTTCCGAACTGTTCAGTCCTCCCAGACACGTCAACATAGCGATACAGATCTATAGGAAGAGGTGTCTCATTTATCATGGCCTGCATGCTTGTAACCCGGAAATTATTGTAACTGTAGTCAAATCTGGCATTCACGAGACCTTCTTCGCTAAATCGGAAGATCTGACGACCAATAAGGGGACCTATGCAGAGCAAATAAAGGGAAGAAACGTAGAAAAGCAAGTACAAATAAATTAGGCCAATAGTACACACACACACACACACACACACACACACAGAAATAATATAATGTATTAGGAAAGAGAGACTATTAATCTGAAAATACCCCTGAGTCTTATTACTATTTGACTATAAAAAGATGGTGCTACTAAATAAGAAAATGTTAGCGTATTCTCTCCCAAACTCATTTTAGTGTACACTCTTCTAATTCTTATATTTTATTAATATTTACTCTTATGATATTTCATATATAATTACCATTTCCATTTACTTACAATCTAATTCTCACTTGAATTTACAGTTTACACGGCTAACACTTCACCAACATAAATAATTCCTTTGAATTTATGTTATGATATTAATCTTTGCATTCAAACAATAAAGCAACCTGAAGTAGTAGTTAGCAGATAGCTATATCTTGGAATGAAAATAATCAAATATTATGTGTGCCATAGTAAACAATAACAAGAATATTGCATATTTCAAACAGGACGGTTTTATATGCCCATGGACACGCATACAGTTTTTCTTTCTCTCTCACATGCACACAGATTGTTCATCCAAAAAAACTAAGGGCTTGATTCCAGTTATATGAATGATTTCAATATGCCAGGTAGATTGCGTTTGCAAGATAAGGGCCCAAAGTTTTAACAAAGCGGGCTGAATTACCCCTGACAATAGGTGTAGCTGTAACAAACCTGTCTGCCTGTATCTGATGGTGCAGATGAATCCATCATGCATCAAGTGTATGGTTTTTATAACCCCAGAAGATTCTTCATATGTAAAGGTGACTTGAGTAGTATCGTAGAGGATTTCTGACAGCCGGGACTGTTTTGTGTACTTGTAAAGGACTCGACGCCCTGTTCCAGGATATAGCGTTTGCAACAGCCGTCCATCTCTGGTGAAATCTTGTATGAAGGCTGTGCTGCTGTCCGGGGGAGTGTAGATGTTGCGATAGTATCCCACTGAAAGCATGGTCTGCAAGCCATGGCGCACCATACTTGGCATGGTAACTGAGAGCAGGTAATCTGACTGGTCGTATTCAAATATGTAGCGGCGTTGGCTGTGCAACAGGAGCATCACAGACTGGAATTGAAACAATGAAAAGGGCAATGCAAGTCACTGACCAAGTAGCTACCGGAAAATGAAAGAAACCCTGAAACAGAGTCCCATTTCTATTGCTTACTCTGCACCATAGCAAATACAATGGTCAGCTTCAGAATACGTGCGGCCCAAGTGGCCGCCCAGATGGGGAAAAAAAGACTGAGGTGAGGCAGTGTGGGATCAGAGGATCCAAAATTGACGGGACAGATGTAGCACCCAGCAGCACTGCAGCCATAATCTAACCTACCGGGATGTTTTGGAGCATTTAAGGCAGCTATCCAGGAGGCAAATACAGGCAGGACCTCTCAGTCCCAAACACAGGTAAAGTACCCATACCAAGTCAAATCTCCTTGAGGCCATATTCACTGTGGCTAATAATGTGGTTAGCTCTTGCTGGCACCACAAGTCTCCCTAGCATTGATGGGTACCAGCTGTGGACCACTGCCCTCTATCAAAGGAGAATAAAGCTCGTTCCTCTGTGCAAGCATGTCTGCATGTGGCACGGTCATGAAAAATTCTCCAAGTCATTTGTGAGCCCACATGATTTAAAGGGGTGTTGTATGTGTGTGCGAATAGTTTTATCTCTGGTGATTGACTGACAAACTTGTCTATCGGTACTTGGTATTTGCTAGTTTGCTGCGGTTGGGCAGTGAAATCGCTAGCTCCGGTTTCTATTATCTGCCTAGACAGACTTCTGGAAGAAATACTTCCTTATGAAGATGGAAAACAGGGTTTCCACGGCAGTAAAAACTTAATGGTATGAACGCTCACAGAGTGCCGAGCGCAAGCCCTGTGGGGAGCAATTATTGCTGAAATGAATTTAATAAATGTTTAGAGTGCGTATTCATGGCCACTCCTTGTGGTATTCACCCAGTTCTATGAGACGGCACGACTCTGCATGAATATTGCGTGTCCTGGACAAGTTACTGGAACTTCAGCCCAGAACTGATACCCCGGCGTGTTTATATTATGTGCCAATGCTAGGAAGCACTTGAGCGGGTCAGAAGACGCACTGAGCTAAGTGCGTTGTCTGTTTGAGGCTAAAGTGCTCAGCCTTCTGCAGGATGGAGCCTTAAGAGCAAGACTGCGCTTCCCTCTGATGAGATACTTCCTAGATGCTAGAACAATGGAAACAAAAAGTCAGGTGAAGACCTTGCCTCCTAGCAAAAAGATTCCCGTTAGGGAGGAAGACACTCAAGACTCAGCCCTGCAATGTGCTGAAAAAGCTGGCCCAGATCCTACCACTGGCACTGATAAAAACCCCGATGCCTATTCAAAGGAATGAAGGCAGACTAGCCAACCTTCCTAAATTTCTTTTTTCCTGTTCTCCTCACCCTCACATTTATTTCATGCTGCCTTTGGTGAAAGACATCTGTTACCTGTGCTCAGGCCAATGAACATCAACATATGCTGTGCGCAAGTTATCCAGTGACAGCCGGCGACAACAGACCTTTCCACCAAGCTTTTTCTGATCGCTTTATTGCCAGTTTGCCAAACATTTATAACACACACAGTGTTTATTTTATTCTCACCTTCAGTCAGCAGTCCCCAATCTGCAGTAAACCACTGGCTGAACTCTCTCCCTGCACTGATGTGATGCCTCTTGCTCTATAATGCTCCCTGGTCTGTTTTTAAGCTGTCTGCCATTGACACAGTATGAGTAACAAGATCAGAAACATCTCTAATATAACTTTAATGCCCCTGTGGGCCATTTTCTCAGTACTTTGTGGCTTTTCCACTTTTGTCCAGGATAGTAAAAAGAGAGTACGAGGATTGGGAATTTAGTATCCAACCCAGGTATTGCTGTCTTCTATAAGCAGAATAAAAGGTAATTCTTGTCCCTTCTAATAATGTTAGATGAGGTTTTGAACCACTTGTTTAAATTGAATTCTAGCAATTTCAAAAGGATTTTACAGACTATCTCATCAAGCGTAAAAAAACCAGCTCTCATTTAATAAAAGCAGCCAGGGAATGGTAAACCTCATAGGGACTGATGCAGACATGATGTTTTCAATGGCGATTGCTTGAATTTCTTTTGGGAATACAACAAACAGGTCCATTGCTAAATAGGGCCACTAGATGTCACTTCTGTTCTGCACACACAGAGGCCCCCTCTACACGTTACACGCGTCATGCAATTACCGGGTTAACTGGGAAGTTCATTTTGAGCAGTTACACGTGCAAATTAACTATTGCGCCTTAAAAAGGTCCAACCAGCTAATGACTTTATAGCCGGTTTCTATACAGCTGCAATTGCACGCGTCGCAGGGTCTGCCCCTGTAGCTGGAAGCTCAGCCGACAGGGCTTCCAGCGGCAGGGGCCAGGGCTGGGAGTCCCACAGCTGAGGGGACGCTCAGCGCTGGCAGTGCCCCATGGCTGCTGGGCGCGTCCTGCAGCTCACATGACTCCCTCCTGCCAGTGCCTCGTAGCTGTGCCACCCAGGGTCCTGGCAGCCGTGGGGCGCTGCCACCGCCGCGAGTCCCATCAGCTACAGGACTTGCAGTTACAGGAGCTTGTGAATTGCCGGGATGAAGATCCTGGGCTCCCCCCTGTATCGGCAATTAGGCACGACAGGATCTGATGCTGGATCCCACAATTACATCTCCCGCCATGCACGTATGATATGGGAGGAGGTGCAACTGTGTGGATCACGCAGCAGATCCTATCACACTTTTGCTTGAACGTCTGGAGGGATCCACAGCTGTTCATCCTTTTTTGCCTAGCTGTACATAGAGCAGGATTTCAGAAAGGAGCTTTAGGTATTCAGATTTTTGGGTACAATTAATTATTCATTTTTTGTAAGGATCCATTTCATTATCAAAATAATCCAAATGAATTAGCTTATTAAAAATGATCTTTAAAGGGTTGTCATCACTGAGCCTTTTGAAAGTTAAACTACTGAGAGTGAATGCTAGCAAGAAGGAAGATTTGACTATAATTAACCCATAAGGAATGCTAATAAATGAGACAAAAAAGTTAATACCTATAAATTGGAATTTTAACAAACCTAGTGAACGATGTAATTGATTTTTTGATAAAATGAAATCGTTGGAGCTTTATGTGGATTCTTACAGTCACGGCTTTAAAAATTGTTCCATTACGAACCCAACAAACATCTATTTTCAGCGGGGCCACAATATGGTATCTTGCTATGTAAGATTTTATTGGACCCGATGTGAACTTGCTCCCAGCGCTGGACTATTCGGTGGGAAAAAAAGGTCAGTTTGGAGTGCAGAAAGGCTATAAGGTCACGCTCGTCATGTGTGACCCTCACTAACTTCCACAGAAGAAATATCATAAACAAAATCCTGGGCTTATTTGAGCTGCTGGCTTTTTTACTGTTTACCAGAATTTGGTATTGATGAGTAATTTTCAACATATTAGCTTTGAGATGCATATCTAGACTCAAAAAACTACCAATGACTCAGCAGAGATGAAGTAGCCTGGAAAAATATAAAGCACAGAAACCTTCCAAAATGATGTGTAGTTTGGTCAGGCCCAAAGCAAAAATATAAAGATATCTTCCTTGTCTACTCTTGATGTATTACCCAAATGCTCAAAACCTGTACTGAAAGTCTGTTTACTTGTGATTTCAGCTCAAGGTATAGGAAAGAGATCCCAACACATTTATCCAAACCAAACTTCTGAAACTTCTACGGTTTGTCAATCCTGTTAACAAATACAGATACCACACGGCATACACGAAAGGAAGGAGTTACTTTTTATATGCTTTCGAAGCCATATCAAGTTTCTGTCTGGGCTAGATTAAAATGTTCTTTGGCTCAGATTTAAACATATTTGGAGTTTGTACAGTGGAAGATCTCTTAAAAATACACATCTAGAACTTTCAAATATTAAATAATTTCAAAAGTTTACTGTTTTTCCCCCCTTACTATCTTCTGTGCTTAACAGTTTGGAAAATATTTTGCATACATTATATATATATATATATATATATATATATATATA